TATCATCTGCATAAAGAAAAAAATGAAAGTTGATTGGAGGAAGTATTTATATCATTTATACATAGGAAAAACAATAGGAGACCAAGTAAAGAACCTTGGGGACTTCATGAACATTGGAAGAAACTAAGAGAAAGTGTTATTATATTAATACATTGGGGTCTATTTGAAAGTTAAATTTTAAAAAGCTTGTTTTTGATTCCCTGCATACCATGAAGTTTGGACAAAACAAGTGAATGGTCAATGGTGTCAAATGGCTTCGAGAGATCAATGAAAGTACTAATGGCAAATTCATTGCTCTCGAAAGCATCCACAATGTTATTTGTCAGTTGCAAAATATCAATTTCGAAAACCGTATTGATTATTGGAGAGAACCTTGTGTTTTTGAATGAATAAGTACGTCCTGACAAAGACAACGACGACAACAATAACATGAAGAAGAACATGGGTAAAACCAATAGCCTCCCAGGAGCTTCGCTCCTTCGGGGAGGCTCATAATCATGATTAAAGAAATTAGTTAATTTGTTACCACAGAAAGGTGGTCTTATTTAGGCGCGATCTACAAATTATCCCCAATGACAGAAACAGGTCAAACACGTTTGCCATTGTTATATGACAAGCTCTCCAAACGCGTCTGTGAAATGCCGTTTGGAAGCTTGTCGTTCGAGCCGTTTATTCCATTTGGATGTTAACTCCATCCCATTTCAAATGGCTGACTGCTCGTGAATGGTAGATGTTAAACGCGTTCAGCAGAATATGGATCCCACCGTGATTTATACAACTTTAAAACGCCTATATATATTAGTAGCCTATTACAGTAAAGTGCTAGGCCTAGGCCTACACTAGATGACAGATCACGAAGTTATAATTAAGGCCCTATAATTTATTTAATTACTAATTCAATTTTTTGTTTTTAAATGCTTATTTTACATGTACGGTATTTTATGAATGCATCACTCCATTTCATTTCTTGTCAACGATGTCGCGTTTATGCCTAGACTCAGAAATACTGGGATGGTGTCCGGCAGGTGATGGTTTTTGTATACCATAAGCGGTCTTTAGGCCTATATGTATATAGTATATATTTTTCCAATGTCGTATGGATAAATATATTATCAAAATGAAAGAATTAATTAATTACCGTTTTCTGTACACCACATGTTGATTGTGTCACTGAAGGATTAGCATATAATATCAGTTGTATGTGTTATTTATAGTTCGACATAAACATAATAAAACTCAGTATTATTATTATTTAACACATAAACAGCTTCACATAATATAACAGTAGGCCTAAAGAATAAAAATATATAAAATACAAAACAAGATTTAAACATAGGCCTACTGGTACTGGTACCCGTCTGATTTCAGACATTCGGCAGCCATTGACATCATGTTGGCGTTAAAAGACTGCATATTGTGTAATAAGCAATAGGTAAGCAGACAAGGCCTATCTATACTTTATTTTAAATTGAACTGGCATCCAGGCACTCCATCGAACATCCTACTGTTAGCATCTGAACTGACCTACTTTTGTCCAGTGCGGCAAACAAAGCGAATTTGTCACGTTTTATCTTGCATACTCTGCACTGATCACATCCAGACACGAGGTACCCAATATACTTGTAGGGGCATTTCACAGTAATTGCGACATATGTTGAACATTTTCAAATTGTGTTTTATACATGAAGTTGGACATTTTCAGAAAATAGATACATTGAATTATATGAAACTAAAAAAAAATTTAAAAATTATTGATACTTCAGAATATATTTCATGTTAAAGATGGAAAATACAAATTTTACATCACGGACATTACATTTTAATATTGCTTATATTTTTTATATCATAAATGTGACGTTTTTAGTACATATTGTTTATTTTTTATATAGTTCTAGTGCAAAAAAATTATTCAAATTCCATATCCTCTTTTAATTTAATATACTATATATACAAAAACTTTTTTTCAGAAAAAGAAAATCTTTTTAATGATAACTTTCATATTAAACTTTTGTCCCGGACATTACATTATGTCACGGACATTACATTTTACTATCAAAACAATAAAAAATTTTTGTTCAGTTTAAATTTTGGCAAGTGAAAAAGTAATACAGGATTATTACACATTATTTGAAAATTTTTAGGAGTTTTTACAATATTTTGAATGGTACAAAGATTATAAATTTATTATTTGGCGTAATTTTCAAATGTACAGATTTTATTTGCGGGCGTTGCAGGGAACTAAAAGCAAATGATCAGATGGAGCTGGTAGCCAATTCAAAAACCGGTATATGTTTTGTAAATTATTTATTTATTTTGTAATTTCCAACTAAAAAAGATGTACGTACTTTCTTGGGTCAAATTTTAAATGCTGACCTATATGAATTAGAGTTACAATAGCTTTTTAAGAAGCAACATAAATAAGAAAACATTTGCATTCCAAAATGTAACTGACATATCATGGGCAGCTAAGGATAGGGTGAAGGGGAAACTCTTATGCCACTTTTGGATGCAAGGGGGAGATATGTATTTGATGTTGATATTGAAGCTACAGTAGTAACTTGAGTGTTCGATATAAACAATCCACTGACACAGCGGTGTTTTACATGGAGATTTCGCGGCCGTCCCTTGTTTATTGCTGTAAAGATTATTATGATTCCCAGTAAACTATACCAAATTAATTGGAAATTAAGCTTAAGAATTTTGCCTTAATGTTTGCTAATGCTGTAAAGATACTAGCCGCAAACATTGAGATTTTTTGACAAATGTTAGGCCTAGGCCCTTGCACATCTACGGCATGGTTAGGTATGTATGATGGTCTCGACCCGCGAACTACACTGCGATGTTAGGGCCAGCTAAGGTTTATGAAGGATCACTTAAATTTCAAAGCATACAAAACCAAGGAGAACGCTAGGACAAGTAAATAACCACTATTTTGAACAATCCTATTGCCTTTCCTAGCCATTTACTTCTCATGTTAACAGTGGGTGGTTGTTTTCGCAACCATAACATTATCTTTTCCTATGCTATCGCACTGTAATATTTTACATTTACCCAAGTTAGGTCATGTGACCACCTGTAAACAATCATCGCTAAATCCCTCTATTAAACTCATTCCTAATAATTCTCAATAAAATCAAACTGTCTATAATTAATATAGAGGTAACTACTGTAAAGAAAATCGATTTGTGTGTTAATTTTGTTCCAATTATTCTTCAATGAAAATGCATTTTTAAAACTGTACTCAATTTCAGATCATTCTATACTATGTTTTTTAGACTTGCAGACTATTACTTAATAAACTGTCAAATTAAAATATGTATTAAGTTATTGCTGATATAAAATGAGGTGTTAACATTCTTTTTAATATATTTACATATTACTGAAAATTTGTAACATTATGGACATTAATTTTTATGAATAATTAATATTAATTAAGGCCTTTCTGATATGAAATGATTGATTTTTGAGATAGAAAGTTATTTTAAAGCATATTTGGACTTTATTTTTTAATTTACACTTGTTTTTTTTACACTTGTTTTTTTTTACTCTGTTGTAAATGAGACAAAATTGTATTGTCCGTGACGTTTATAAATGTAATGTCTGTGACGCAGATAATCGCGTATATACAATGAAATATTTTTTGTTGTTGATATGACAAGAACAACTATCTAAATATGTTATGTATGAAGGAATATTTGATATCTGCAAAAACAGCAATCCTGTAATGTCCGTGACGCGAACATATTTTGTTTTTACAGTCACCCTATGATATTAAAAAAAATTTTTTTTTATACCTCCCTAAAATAATTATAAAAAATTGACCCAAAAGTATAGTGTTTCCCTTGAATGGTTTACTAGATATAGCGTTTTAAATTCTCTAAAATGTAATGTCCATGACAAAAAAATACTGTGGAATGCCCCTGTACAGTACAGTAGTCGCCTAGGCCTAGATTATGCCAAGGTTTAATCATAGAGAAAATAGATGTTATAATTTCTCAATGGTTTAATAAATGTTTGGCAAATGATTACAATTGAATTAAAATCTATAATTGATTATGACTTGTATAAAAACGAAAAAAAAAGGGAAATGACAAATAGAAACACATTATTAACCAATTATAATTTATAGCGAATGTTGTCAAAACATTATACTGTTATAAACATTATACTGTTGTCAAAACATTATACTGTTATAAAATATTCAAAAGGGTATTATATGTATGTGTGCATGTGCTGGCGTCTAATTGTGTTCCCATGTGATGTATGTGTGCAAGGAGTTGATGAGTGTAGAGATAATTTTTGCGTTCGTCTTCAGCTTCTCGGGTAGGCTGCTAATGAAGATAGGTCTGTCTGACGGACCAAGCGTCAATAATGTGCTGTTATTGTCATTTACGTCTTAACTTAGGGCCAGCAAACACTGGGCCAAGAATATGCCATCAGGACTATGTAGTGTTTAATCTTTGTACAGTATACTGGGTTCATTCCAAAGTAAAACTTGTTCAGTATTTTAAATTAAAACGAAAACACTAGTTCAACCGGGGCCTGGTTCAACGACACAGACACGTCTGTCATCGAAAACAATAGAAACAATGGCAAACAAGTTAAACAGCACAAGCCCGTTTGGACACGTCCACGAAATATTGGCTTATCTTATTAATATTCATGAGGCACAATAATTAGGTGATCACTTTCCCAGAAGCATTTGTAATACAGTTTTTCCAAACCCATTTCTGTCAGGGATAATTTGTAGAACGCGCCTTAGAGAAAACCTGTATAGTGATTCGTTTGATTAAGTGTCCTATCCTACATTCTGCTTAGTATTATTTGTTTATCAAATAAAAAACCAATAATACTAAATTCCCAATGTTATAGATGTGAAGAAATGCTTAATGAAATTGAATGAATTTCACTTCTCACAAACAATAAAGCATCAGAAAACAGCTGTCTGTGTGATATAATTTTGGAAAATGATGATGCAAGTTATATACAATGATACTCACACTAAACAGCAAAGGTCTGAGAGTTGATCAATAAAATCAAACAACTGGCTAATGTCATAAGTTATAGAAGGACTGGTTGGGTTCATCTTCTTTAAATGTTCTTCAAATATTTTACACACACCTGTAATTTAAATAACAATAATTATAATTTTAAATAGACATATCATTCAACACAAATATTGAATAATATTTAAAACCTCAATAAACCCTCTCTACTTACCCTCCATACACTCATCTAAAGTTTCATAATCTGAGTATGTTCTTGTTTCAGCCCTTTTTCCTGGCTGGATCAGCAATATTGTATGAGACTGAAACAAAGCAAAAACTATATTTAAATACCAGATGAATTATTTTGTATATTTAAATAATGAATTTTAAACAGAACATGGGAGAAAACAATATTAGGTAATTTTGACATAGTGCATTCAACCGTGCATGAATTAAAAATTGTCAATTCTCAATTATTTTCCATTTTTTTTATATTTTTAACGTGATAGTCTGGCGTTTTTGGTTTTTGTGAATTTCGTACATTGTGAGCTTGTGATTGTAAGCAGATATTGGCCCACATGTCTTTCATAGCAAATAAAGAAAATTCAATTGAATGATGCTATATCTTCCCTACGTACTTTAGACAGTAATCACTGCGATAGTAAGAAACTTTATGCAGTGCTTTTTTTTACTGCTTTGCAGTTTCAATATTACTTTTTTATAGATGATCAGCTTCCGGCTGTAACAAGGGGTTTTGCACATGGTAGGTGGGCTGCTCATACAGTGTAAGGTTTCCAATTCATGTTTGTGGCCTTCAACAACAATTACTGTCAGGCTGCAAGTGAACCCCGGACCCACCTGTGTAAAAGGTGCTCAAAACACAAACCTCAGTAAAAAATGTATAAACCCACTACCTTCCCATTAAATCTATACAGCCCTTACAAGAAATAGCACTTTGGTGATCTCTGCCTAAGAATAAAAGTTTGTGGTGACTGATGGGTTTAAAGCCTGTGTGCAAGTTACAGTCACTCAGTCTTCAAACTTAAGATAAACATAGGCCTATAAGCTCATTAAATTGTTTTATAAATTAGAAAGTATAAAACAAAAAGACAGTAACTCCGAAAAGAGACAGAGACATTTTGAGATTCAACATTTTAATCTACTGTATTTGATCATTAGAAAGTATCACAGGTAAAAACGGTCATTGCCACAACGTTTATTGATAGAAAAAAAAATGTTGTAAGTACGTATCTTGTGCTCTTATCCTAAAAAAAAAAAAAATTACATAAAATTTATCCACTAAAAATTATTTTTAACACCGCTAATTGATTTCCTGGCATCAAAAACATATAGGAACCAATGAGATTTATGCTGGGCTCCGGTAGCTTTCACCTCAAAATAAGTCCTCGGCGGGTATTGCTAAACCCCACAAACCTCCAAAAAAAACACCGCAAAAACCCCATTCAAACTCTGTGATAATAATTGAATCACATAGTATAGGACTCAACTTGGTATCTCAATTTAAAAAAATCTGAATTTTATGTTCATCACAACCTATTTTTGGGGTAAAAAGTCCATTTTTTGTATAAAAAAAATTCTAAACCCCGCAAACCTCCAAAAACAAAGTGCAAACCCCATCCAAACCCAGTGATAGTGATTGAATCATGTAGTATAGGACTCACTTGGTATATCAGTAAAAAAAAATTTTAATGTTCCATTCGTAACAACCTACTTTTTAGGTAAAAATGCCATTTTTTGTATAAAACATTGCTAAACCCCGCAAACCTCCAAAAACAAAGTGCAAACCCCATCCAAACTCTGTGATAATGATTGAATCACATAAGTATAGGACTCAATTTGGTATCTCAATTAAAAAAATCATAATTTTATGTTCGTCAAAACCTATTTTTGGAGTAAAAAGGCCATTTTTTGTATAAAAAAATTGCTAAAAACCACAAACCCCCAAAACACAGTGCAAAAACCATCCAAACCCTGTGATAGTGATTGAATCATGTAGTATAGGACTCAACTTGGTATCTCAGTATAGTGTTCCATTCGTAACAACCTATTTTTCGGGTAAAAATGCCATTTTTCTTTATAAAACATTGCTAAACACAGTGCAAACCCATCCAAACCCTGTGATAATGATTGAATCACATAGTATAGGACTCAACTTGGTATCTCAATAAAACAAATCAAAATTTTATGTTCGTCACAACCGATTTTTGGGGTAAAACACACCATTTTTTGTATTAAAAAATTACTAAACCCCACAAACCTCCAAAAAAACACAGCAAACCCCATCCAAACCCTGTGATAGTGATTGAATCACATAGTATAGGACTCAACTTGGTATCTCAAAAAAAATTTTAATTTTATGTTCGTCACAACCTATTTTTTGGAGTAAAAAGGCCATTTTTTGTATAAAAATATTGCTAAACCCCGCAAAAATAGGTTGTGACGAACATAAAATTATGATTTGTTTTATTAAGATACCAAGTTGAGTCCTATACCATGTGATTCAATCATTATCTCAGGGTTTGGATTAGGTTTGCGGGGTTAAGCAATGTTTTTAACCAGAGCCATGCAGGCGTCAACGTTCCTATGCATGATATATGACTTAAAAAGTATATAGGTCCCATATATATATACATACACATATATATACGTATACACCGTATATATACACGTATATATATATATACACGCGCGTGTACATATATACACTTGTACATATATATACGCATGTATATTATACGTATATATATACATATATATACGTATATATATATGTGTATATTTATACGTATATATATATTATATTATTATACGTATATATACACGTGTATATATATATACGTATACATGTATATATATGTATACGTG